ATGCTGGCTGCTGGCTACACACGGTAGCCCATGGCAACCCACTGCCACAGGGGCTGCAGCCTACGCCGTCGCCAGCGACTCACAGCAGCCCAGCTCCAAGTTGAGCTGTTGTTCAGCATCTTAGCTGTAGAGGGCCGTGTCACTGACCCGCATATGTGGGATCCAAACCGGGGCCCTCTGGCGTCCCAAGCCAGCTCTTAACCAATGCACCACTTGGCCGGCCCAGGCCCTTCTCCTTTTCCCCCTCACCTGAAGAAAGACATCTGGGCACCGTACATGCTGGGACTAAGCTGTAGAGCCGGGTAATACCCGAAAGGAGGCACAATGAGGCTGAACACCAGCGCCAGGCCCACAAACAGCGCAGGCAGCACAATCTGAAGGACCAGCCATAAGCTGCCCTCCCCACCCACCCTCCAGGTCTGCTGTACCCTTTCCTGCTCCCACTCTACAATCATCCATGGCTCCCCAGTGCTCTCAATAAAGGTGTGCAGGGCAAGGGATATACCTAGGGTTAGGCAGTTGAATTAGACCACAGAGTGGAGAACAGGCACCCAGGATCTCCCATGCACCCTCCCTGGTGCCTAGCGCCCCTCACCTGTGCAAACAGGCCACGGAGGCTGTGGCGGGCAAGCAGAAAGCGCTTAAGTAGCAGGGCCTGGAGCTGCTGGCAGGTCAGCGCCCAGCCCTGTACCGCTCCATGATATTGGGCCCTGAGCCCTGCAGGGCCTGTGTCTCTGGGGCAGGTCCAGCTGCAGAAGATGGGAGGGTCAGTGCTCACACTGAGGGGACCAGGAGGGGCCACAGGATAGGGCCACAATGTCAGGATGGGACAACTCACCCAGCTCCCCACTCTCTAGGGCTGACTCCTTGGGTACAATAGTCACATTTGGGTGAGTAATGCCCATGCACGGGTGCTGTCTGTGGCTGCCATCTGTGGAATCACCAGGAGTCAGGGGTCAGTGTTCAGCCTGGGGTCTGGGTCAAGGTCAAGGGGCACAGATGAAGGGGGTCAGGAATCAGGGATGGAGGTCAGGGCTATGCTGGACCGGATGTCATGGCCCAGGACGCAGGTAGACCCACCAGAGGGTGGAAAAAGGCCCCAAGAGACAGGCAGTCACCCAGCTGGAGGCAGGGCCCCAGCTCTGCCCACTCTCTTGTATTATTTATCACTCAGAAGAATCCCAAGATCCAGAAAATGGGTTAGGAGAAGAGGCAGAAGATCCTGGAACCAGCGATTCCTGACCCCTTCCAGCTCTGGTCTACTTCATGATTGTACAGATGGGGAAACTTGAAGCCGCCAGAGGGGTAGGCAGTTGCCACAGCTCACACAGGAAGGGGGAACTTGGACCCAAGACCCCCGACCCCTACTCCATAACTCTTCTTTACATCAAGTGGGATCTGGGGGACCAGTCTCAGTTTCTCCATTTGTAAAACCGGGGCATAGGGCTTGGAGTTCTAACGGGGAACGGGGCTGCAGGTGCACGATGGCAAAGCCCTCAGTTGAGTCTAATACCCAATCTCCCCCTTGAAAATTAGTGGTCAATTCTGCCATTCCCCAACACTCACTGGCAGGGAGCCAAGGTGAGACAGTCTGGACTCGGCCCATACCCTCTAATCCCCAGGGATCATGCCTCCTTCCCACCCATCTCCACCCCCGCATCCTCTCAAGGCCTTCCTCTCTCTGGGACTTTCACCGTTCTAGTCCCCAGTGCTAGCCGCTTTTCCTCCACCCGACAGCCGCCTGGAAACGCGGCCCCTTTAAGAGAAGCCCCCGCAACGGGAGCGGCTTCCCTGCAGCCTACTGTAGGTTGTATTCTGTGCCTGCGGCAGCGTCGAACCCCGCCCCTTGCGCACTATTGGTCATCATATCCGCCACTCACAAACCAGGCCAGCCGGAGCTCTGCACGCCTAGGAAGTGGGTGAGGTCACAGCGGGGCTGCGCCGAGCCGGCCTTCTTAAAGGGGCCGCTCCACTCGCTTCTCGCCGCATCACTGTGAGGTGGCGGAGCGCCAGGCTGCCTGGCCACCCGCAATGCAGCTCTGGTAGGAGGTCCCTTTCTCCCCACTCTACCCTGAGGGACCTAGCCAGACTCGCACTATTATCCTGTATTTGTCCATCAGGAAAACGGGGCTTTGACTATTCATCACCCACTCATTCTACAAATATTCCTTGGTGCCTACACACAGATGATGGCAGAAGTGGAAGAGGCCCTCAACATTCTAAGATTCTAGTCCTGGGTCCTAATGGTCACCCCGATTTTGAGGAAAATCTCAGGATCGGTTTCCTATTCCTGAAAATTGGGTATGTTTCACAAGATCGTGATGAAGATAAAACAATGGTGTGGATTCACAGCTCTTGAAGGCACCAGGAAGGGTGAGCGGTGTGGGAAGGGCTCCATGGAGGAAGGAGGAGGTTTGCTCTTAGGGCTTTGCAAATGAATAGAAGTTTGTCAGGGAGGGAACTCCAGGCTGAGTGAAGGCACACGCAAAGGCTTGGGGCTGGATGATGGAGTGCTGGGTGGAACCCCAGTTGTCAGTGTGGAGGTGGCAGCAGTGTTGAGGCCCTCACCTTTCTAACCAGCCAGGAGCCCCCAGCCTCTGCCTACTCCAGGTCCAGGTTCTCAAATCATTTGTTTGATCCAGACTCGCCTGTACCCTGGGCCTCAGCTTCCTGCTCTCCCAAGGCAGCTGTGAGGACCAGATGTTGTCCCCCTCACCCCCAGGACCCCAGAAAGGATCCAAGCAATCACCTTCCCCAGGCTGCCTCTGACACCAACTCTCTGAGCGTCTTTTCCTAAAAAGAGGCTTTTATTGCCTTTGGTCGGTATTTCACATTATCTCTTGGTCCCAGCGCTTCTGGGTTGGGCTGGTCCCCTGGAGGGCCTCCAGGTGGGGATCCCTGTGCAGTACTTGGCAGGGGAGAGGGGACACTATGGAGGGGGGTGTCCGACTTTGCCTCAACCACTCAGAACTCTGTTGTCTTGTATAGGCCTCAGTTTCCCCACTGGGCACCTAGGAGGGTCCTGGGGAAATCCATTCCCTCATGATGCCTAAAATATCTCAGGACTGTGGCCTGGCCTTCTCCTATGGGACCTACTTCCTTCCCAGCACCCCCCACAATCCCCACCCCATTCCCCTGAAAAAAATTACCATTTCATTAAAACTACCTGAAACTTGTGGGCACAGAAACCACAAACTGACAGGCAGAGAAAAAGGAAGAGGAGCAGAAGCAACCGGAAGCCATGTAGGGCCAGTTCCCCTTCCTGCCCAGGTTTCTTGCCCACACACACACAGCTCAGTCCAAAACCTAATGGGAAATTTGCTGCCTGGATGTGTCTGGGCAGGGACCCCCACCCTACACACATCTGGATCTGGCCTTCACCCCTTCCCCACAGACCCTCAGGTGGAAGCACTTGGACACGTAGAAAAACAAGATGAAAACACAGAAAACCCCGAAAACCCAGATGGGGCAGCGATGTAGGGAGACACCCTGCACAGGATCCTCAGTAGCCAGCCTCCTCCTGGTAGTAGGGGGGATACTCTGGGGCTGTCCCTGTGCTTGGGCAGTCACCAGCAGCCCCTGGAGCCCCATCAGCTGCTGGGCCTTGTGGGCAGTACTTGGGGTCGTATATCTGCCGGCCCAGGCCAAAGACTTGGCCGCTCTGGTTGGCGCCCTGCGTGTAGCCCATCTGCAGTGACATAGAGGAGTTGTCACACTTGTCGGTCCCCAGCTTGGTGTCATAGATGTGCCGCCGGGTCCCAGGAGCCGTCATGCCCACCTGCAGAGGGAGGAGAAAGCCTCAGGGTGAGAGGGAAGAGATGAAAACTGAGGCTCTCAGAGGAGAACTTGCCCCAAATTCCCACACCATCACCCACCATCTTTACACTCACAAAGCAAACTCCTATGCATGCTTCCAAACCCTACTCAGACACCCTCTTTTCTGGCTCTACGCTGAGTTGATTTCATTACCAGTGACCTTCTCCCTTGGTGCCAGAGGTGTTTGGGTCCAGCTCTCCCTGCTAGCCAGGAAGCACCCCTGGCAGGAGCCGAGGCCTCAGGAGAACCTGCATACTCCAAAACCACCATTGCACCCATGCAACACTGCAGGAAAAGTGAGAACTGCAGGATCTAAAAATTTCATTGTTGGGTGGGCCTCGAGGCAATCCCTGGAGGGAAACTGAGGCAAAGAACTCGGTAGTAACTTCCCTGGGGACACAGCAACCTGACACACAGAGACAGAGAAGGCACTAATATAGAGGCAAGAGGGAAGCCCAGAGTGGGGTTGTCAGGGGGAGAATGTGAGGTTTCTAGAGGCCCTAGAAACCTCTAGAGACAGGGGTCTGGGGGAACTGGGTGAGGCCCACCTGGCTGGCACACTTGTTGGTGCCCATTTGCAGGCTGATGGTCGAGTGGTCCATGGGTGGCAGGATATGGTTCTTGGGGTCATACAGATGCCTTCTTGTGCCATATGCAGTCATGCCTGACTGGCTGGCACACTTGTTGGTGCCCATCTGCAAGAAGGCGGGCAGGAGAGGTCAGGCTGCCCAGAACTCGAGGAGCCACTGGGTGGACAGGGCCTGGGTCACAGCAGAAGCCTGCCCCCAGTGGGCTCTGGGGCTAGAGGGGCCTGGCACCCACCTGGAGCCCAATAACACACTGTCCCGCCTTCATGGTGGCATCATCGAAGTTTCGCTCCTGCTTCTCTGAGTATTTGACACCGATGTCGACACCACTGTGCAACCCCTTTGTCTTGGCCTGGAGTGGGGGGATAGCCGGGACCTTCAAGCCAGGCCCAGTGGCTTGCATAGGAATTGGGCTGAAAACTGCCAACCCCCCCACCCCCTACCATCCAATGCCTCAAGTGTCTCAGACTCAGAGATCCTGATAGCCCCAGCCTTCCAGCTGCTCAGGCCAAGAATTTGGGGGGCATCCTTGCTGCCCCTTTCTCATCTTCCATCACTTTCTATCCAAACTCCCAGTCCCCATCCAGGTCATGGCCACCATCTCTCGCCTGGACACCTGCCCCAGCTCCTCCTTGCTCTCCTAGTCCCCACTTCCCACATGGTAGCCACAGGAGCTCCTGAAAACATTCAGGACACCATGCCTGACGTGAGAACATCCTTCCCAGTCCACATCAGGGCCATGCTGTTCCCACCTAAAACACTGTTCCAGCCCACCCTGGTCTCAGTTTACGGGTCACCTAGACCACATGCATTGGTCTAATTCGTTCTTTTTCCTTCAGGTACGTCCCACAATCTACAAGTTATTTATAACTTATTTTATTTAATTTAAATTTTTTTTTTTAATTTTTTTTTTTTTAATTTTTTTAATTTTTTTAGCTGAGCCATCCCGCCACCTGTTGGCAGCTCCGCGGCTGCTCAGCTCGGGCTGACTCGAACCACTGTTGCTCAGAGCTCAAACTCTTGAGCGAGCTCTTAACCAACTGAGCCACTCAGCCGGCCCTATTTATAACTTATTTTAAAATGACTTAGGGTCGGCCCAGTGGCTCAGTTGGTTAAGAGTTGGCTTAAGAGAGCGAGCTCTGAGCAACAGGGCCACCGGTTCGATTCCCATATGGGCCAGTGATACTGTGCCTGAGCTGAGCTATTGCTGAGCTGCCAACAAGAGGCAGGATGGCTCAGCTGGTGTAACAAGATTGCCTGTTCGATGGTGGGCTATGCCCACGCGCAACTAAGACTGAACTTGGCACCTTGAGCTGAGCTGCTGCCCAGCATGGCTCAGTGGATAGAGCGTGTGCTCTTTTTTTTTTTTTAAAGATTTTATTGGGGAATTGGGGGAGGGAAACAGCTTTGGGGAATCAGGGAAGGGGAACAGACAAGTTGCTGTCCTTTTGTTCTTCAGTCTAGTTGTGGAAGACATCGCTTCACTGGCCCATGTTGGTATTATCATTGCGCTCTTCCCAGGTGAGGCAGATTGGTCGCTGGCCAGTGGACGGCCGCTCATGGCGGCTCTTGGCAACTCACGCCAGTTGCCGGCCGCTCACGCTGGCTGCCAGCCACTCACAGTAGTTTATGGCAGCCCACTGAAGCTTCACTACAGCCCAGCTCCAGGTTGAGTTATTGTTCACCAGCTTAGCTATAGAGGGCGCAGCATCACTGGCCCTAATGTGGGATCTGAACCGGGGCCCTGCTGCTCAGAGTTGGTGTCTTAAGCCAACTCTTAACCAACGCGCCACTTGGCCGGCCCAGAGCGTGGGCTCTTAATAACAAGGCTGCAGGTTCGACTCCTGCATGGGATGGTGGCTACGCCCACCTGCAACTAAGATTGAACACAGCACCTTGAGCTTAGAGTCCACGAACTGCTGACAGGAAGCCAGATGGCGACTGGCGCCCTCCACAATGAAGACTGAAGAACAACAACGTGGCTGGTCCCCTTCCCCAATTCCACAACACTGTTCCCCTCTCCCAATTCCCCAATAAAATCTTTAAAAAAAAGAAAAAAATGACTTGAAGAGTTGGCCAAGTGGCTCAGTTTGTTAAGAGAGCAAGTTCTGAGCAACAGGTTTGCCGGTTCAATTCCCACATGGGCCAATGAGCAGTGCCCAAGCTGAGCTGCCACTGAGCTGCCAACAGGTGGCAGGATGGCTCAGCTGGTGAGCGCACGTGCTCTTAACAAGGTTGCCAGTTCGACTCTAGCATGGGATGGTGGGCTATGCCCCACCCCCACAACTAAGATTGAACATGGCACCTTGAGCTGAGCTGCCAGGAGCTGCTGCTGGGCAGCGAGATGGCAACTGGACTTGGAGCTGAGCTAGCTGCGCCCTCCACAACTAAGATTGAAAAACAACTTGGCTGTTCCCCTTCCCCAATAAAATTAAAAAAAAAAAATGACTTGAAGAGGGGACCCTCATGTAAACTCTGAGTGATAATGAGGTGTGGATGGAGGTCTGGCAACTGGAACACATGTCCCACACTAGTGGGAATGTGGATGGTGGGAGAGGCTATGCACAACTGGGGGTGGACTGGGGGCATATGGGAAATCTCTGTACCACCCTTTAAATTTTGCTGTGACCCAATAAACAAAAAAAGACTTGTTTATTGTCTACTTCCTCCATCAGACCATGAGTCCATAAAAGGGTGACTGTCCTGTTCACCATTGAATCCAAGGTGCCTGGGCCTAATGGGTGCTCAGAAATATTTGCAAAGGAAGGAATGAGAGCACCTGTAAATCTGCATCGACCTCTCTGTGTGGTTTTGGGCAGGTCACTGCCCCTCTCTGGGCCTCACCTTCCCTGCCAGGGCGAGGAGAGACACCTGCACCTGTGTCATGTTCCCACTCTCAAACAGGTCGTTGGCCTCGAACAGATCCACAGGGTTCATGCCGTAGCTGACCATGGCCTTGATGAAGTTGGAGAGGTTTTCTAGCTGGGAGGAGGCAGGAGAGGGGCTGTGAGGGGACCTCAGGCTACCCACTGGTCAAATGGGGTCACCCCACCCCATCCTTGCACCACCTGCCAGTTCCTCACCTGATGCCAGTTCTGCATGGAGCGGTTGACCTTGGGGACCGAGCCTGGCTGCAGCTTATTCATGAGTCTGGGGGATGGGGATAAATGGAGTAGGGGAAAATAGGAAACTCCATTAACATAGGGGAACCTCACTGCCTCTTTCTGGGCCTGTTTCCCCTCTTACAACGTCATATTCACCCACAAAGCAAAGATGCCAAAGAGTGACAACGATAGGTGTTGCAAGTATAATCCAGAACCCCTGATTTCTGGGAGTGAATCTGGGAGTTCCTATTCACATTTTTAATGTGCAAACCATGGAATGTTTGAACAGGACACAGCAAAGAAAGGCTCCCAGAAACTCTAGACATTTCCCCATGAAAGGAAGGGCGTAAGACAAGGATGCTCCCCATTATAGGTCCTCGACAAACCAATAACACAAGAAAAAAAGCCTGAGACTCATTGAGGGAAAAGCAAGCAAGCTTCAAACAGCACACAGGACAATCGGGGCGATGAGCACATGCCAACACACACACTCACGTGCACAGGATAATTCCATCCTTCAGACCCTTCTGGAAGTCGGGGCCAATAGACATGCCTGTGAGCCCCTCGATCCAGCTGCAGAGCTCTGCCTCCTTCTGAGGGTCATATTTGGACAGGAGCTGGTGGAGCAGAGGGCACAGAATTGGGGTGAGAATATCCAGAAGTTCCCTGAAGCTCTTGATGGGATGGGACCAGTGGCTCCAAGGGAAGAAGAGTCAGAGGGGCCTGGAGGACTTCACACCACAGAGCCGACCCTCCCTCTTTCCCATCAGCAAGGACACTCACGGCACAGATAAACCACATGCCACACAGACACACTCATATCTCTCACTGATAAACACTGGCTCTAATCCATTTCCAATGGTGTCAAACTCCACATGGCAGCCAGCAGGGCTCTGGCAGGACCTGCCCCACCTCCTGCCCCACGCCTTCTCATCTTGTTCTCCCTGCACTAGGGACAAACCCTTCTGTTTCCACTTCCTATCTGTGGATATGCCTCTTCTGGACTTTACATGGAATCACACACTGTGTATCCATTTACCCATTTGACGGACATTTGGGATATTTCCACCTCTTGGCCATTGTGAATGGTGCTGCTGTGGATGTTCATGTAAAAGTTTTGTTAGAACACCTATTTCAATTCTTTTGGGTACATATCTAGGAGTGGAATTGCTGGGTTGTGTAGTAATTCTGCTTAACTTACTGAGAAACAACCAAATCTTTCTCTGTGCCTTGAACTGGCCACACCAGTTACTGGCTTAGGGCTTTTGCATGTGCTGTCACTTTTGACTCAGATGCTTGCACAGCTGGGTCCCTGCCTTCCATTTAGTCACAGCCTGGAGGTCACCTCCTTGGAGAGGATCCCTGACTACCCTGGCTATGAGGGCCCTCCTCGTCACCCTCTTTCCCAACACTCCTCTTACTTTCCTTCTAGACTTTATCTCCACCTTCTGTCATATGATACAGCTCCTCACTTATGGTCCACCCCTCCTCAAGCTTTGCCATCCAGCCCAGTGCTGTTTCTGGATAAAAGTGCTTATGGTCCCCCATCAGCACATACCCATTGCCCACACCCCACTTCCTGTGGCATCTCAGAGCACCAAAAGGCCAAGAAAGTCAGACTGGCTAGAGCCCAGGGAAGCTCCCAAAAGTCAAGGAGACCCAGGCCAGTGTGGGCAGACTCAGTTAGCCCCAGGGCAGCTCCTTGGAGGGGTGGTAATAACAAGCTGAGTCTGACCCCCTTGTACCACACTGGCCAGTTTGGTGGGTTTTCTGCTCCCGAGTGTTTGCTCACAGACCCCCACCTGGAAAGGCCCTTTCTCTTCCTCTCATCATGCCATCCAAGGGACCCAGACCCCAGAGCTGCCCTTTGCAGACCCAGTTCCTACTCCCAGCTCTGCCTCCAAGCCCCTCATTACTGTGGACAGTTCTCGCCCCATGCCTCAGTTTCCCCATCTATGTTTGGAATTGTTAGCATAAGAGTCTCCTGAACCCGGTCCCTGCCTCCTGGTGGCTGCATATAAATCCATGACATAGGGTCAGGTTTAGTTGCCTGGAGAGCAGGGGAAACAAAGGCGGGAGGCTAGCCGGCTAACCTGATACGCTGGGCCCAGCCCTAGAGTCTGTCTCCTGGTTCCCACGGCCCAGGGAGCAGCCCTGCCCATACAAAGCTTTGTCCAGCCTGAAAAGGGGGGGGGGGTGCTGTGTGCATCACATCCCAGTGACTGAGTTTGAGGTGGGCTGGTCTGGACACCTGGCATGCCTGCCCAGCTGGGCCCCGTCCTTGACAGCTTGCAGGGGCCGGAAGAGCCACTGTCCTGGCAGAGGTGCCTGGCCCTCCCTGTGGCCGCAGCCCCTTCCTCCCCGGCTGCCCAGCAGCCTGCAGTACATTCCTCCTCACCACAAACTGCCAGGAATGCAGCCGCCGCCTCCCTCAAAATCCGCTAAATTGGGACCAGCTGTTCCCAGTGGTCTAAACCCCTAGCCTGGCCGGGAATCGAGTGGTGATGGCTGCTCAGAGAGACACACTGGACTATCAGCCTGCCTCGTGCCATTCAGCTGGGGGTAAACTGAGGCACAGGGGCCAGGCAGAGGTCTCCTGTCTTAAGCATCTGGTAAAGTAGACAGGGCTGGGCTCAAAGCCACAAGAAGTTGGTTTCCAACCCACGTGTGGCTCCTGAGAGGCCCTGTCAAGCTGGTGGGTGCCCCACCCACTCTCCAGAGCTGGAAACTGAGGCCTGGTTCTCAGAAGCCTTTGACGTCACTCCACCCAGCACAGGTATCAACCTGCCCCCAACACACTCCATCTCCGGAAGCTGCCCCGCCCTCACCCACTTCCTGCTGCCCTGGGGGAAGACACGGGGTCCAGAAGGACCAGTGACCATCAGGCAAGGGATGCAGCAAGTCTGGGTTCCGGTCCTGACTCTGCCACTTGCAAGCTGTGTGGTCCTGTGCAGCTAAAGCAACATCTCTGAGCCCAGCGTGCAAACCATGGCCTCTCAACTGCCTAGTGCTGGATGGGGCAGCATGCCATAGGCCTGCACAGGCAGCCTGGCAACGTTTACCCGTGGGTTTATTGCTGGAAGGGGGAATTGTGTGTTTAAGGGGGGTCTGGAGCCTGCTGAATGGCTGTGCTCGGTCCCTTGGCTTCCAAAGGGGTAGGGTGGAGTTGATGCAGAATTCTCCCTCCTGTCCCTGGCCCTGGGATGCTGACAGCAGGTGTCTACTGGGGGTCAGCAGGGTTGTGCCCTTGGTGTACCCACGTAGGCTTCCTTCCAGGGGCCACATTCCCAGATGCCTGGTGGGATGATGTGGTGGTGGTGGGGGTGCACAGGGATGGCAAACACCTGTCCAGCTGGAATGGCCCTTGCTTGTCAGACCTGGGACCTCCCCCTGGATCTGGGACCACCCCTTGCTCCCTCTTCCCTAGATGGGCCCTATTGTGTGACCCTCCAAAAGTGTCTGCCCTCTGGGAGCAAGAACCACGAGTGTTTTCTTATATCCTGCTGGCCCCATCCCGTGTTTCCAGGCCACACTTTTAGGGTCACATTCAGGGGACCCCATGTGTCCTGTGGACCCTTTGCTGTGCCTTTAACTTTGTGAGATGGAGACAAAGAGAATGTACAAGAGAACAGCCCTCTCGCTCCAACTTTCCCTTGGTGCCACCCCTCCCAGGTGTAACAGGTCAGTAAATTCCTGTGGGGGAAGCCTACACCCTTCTGGAAAAAAACACACAGCCTTGCCCCTTTCCCCACCAGCAGCTTAAGTGGCCCCAAAAGCAGAAGTTTGGCCAGGGGATGAAGAGGGGAGTGCTGGGGTCCTCTCTCAGACCCTAAGGTTATTCTCAGGCCTTGAAGCGCTGGAAGAACCCAGGGCTGTGGGGTTTAGGTGGGGGAGGGCTGGGTAAGAGGTCAGACCCAACCACTCCTAGATGCTGGGGACCGTGTCAGATCGCGGACCTCACTTCTCCCCAGAGTTGAGAGAGTCTCAGGAGACGTCCCCAGAACCCCAGATGTTGGGGAGGAGGAGGGCCACTATCGTCCCAGATGTCGGGGAGCCTGGAGAGGCGCCCACCCCTACAGAAGTCCGAGGGTGCGAGGCCTCCGCAGATGGGGCCGAAGCGCCCCTCACTCACCCGGTTCTTGACCTCAGCCGAAAGCCCATACGAGGGCCCCTTGTTGAACTGCGTGGAACTCATGCCAGCGGCGGCGGCGGCGGCGAGACGCAACCGACGGATGGCACGAGGAGTGAGCCGACGGGGGAGGTGCGGGCTCGGGGGCCCGCCCCCGACGCTGATTGGCCCCCGGCGCACATGTCCTTATAAGGCCAGGACGCTCTGGATTCCTGCGGCCGCGGACTTCCTGAGCCCCCTCGGCCGCCCCGCCCCGGTGGGGTACTCCATCCTCAGGGGTCCGGAGGGAAACTGACGCAGAGAGGGACTGGGGATCTGGACTGACAAGGCCTGGCACACTTGCCTTCGCCAGTAGGCGGCTCTCTCACCCTTTCGGGGTCTCAGTTTACCCTTCTGCCCGATGATGGAAGAGGGGAAATTGTTGGGTCGAACCCCAATTCCTTTGAAGCACGAATGAGGACCCCTCTCTGCCACTTAGAGGCGCCTCCCACTCCAGCCCCCATCCTGGGAACTTCCATTGCTGGTTGGTGGACAAGGGAACTAGGGGGCTCCTCTGAAGAGGGGGCCATTTGAGTTGGGGGCTTTGATGGATGAGTAGAATTTTACCAGTCCAAAAGGGATTAGTATTCCCGGCAGAACAGAAGGTGCAAAGACCTAGAGGGACTGACAGTGGTCGAAAGCATGTAGAGATCAATCAGAGAGGTTGGGGAAGGGTGGGTGAGAAGGGGGCCTTGAATTCTGGGCTGAGGGATCATGGGGGATGAGGAGAAGGTGGAACAGCAGAGAGTTGAGGTCAGAAGATACCCTGGGGGTAGGGCTGAGGCTGCCAAAAGTACCAGGCCAGGCACACAGTTGGTGCTCAATAGGTGATGTCTGCTTGTACAGATAAATCAACAAATTAATAAATAACTGGATAAATGAAGTTACTTATGCAATAACTCGTTCATTCATTTATTCATTCACACACCTGTTCATTCATCAAAAGCTCTGTGACACGACCTCAGAGCTAGTCCCTCATCAGGTGATAATGCTTGGCTCTGGCCGGGCGCATCCCTGGGAAGACAGAGCCAGACACAGAGTCCCCTGCCCCATGTGAGCAGGTACAGGACAGAAAGAGGGGCCTAGGGTATAGGAACCTGGAAGGGGACTGGGGGCTTCACTAGAGGGGTCAAGGAAAGCTACATATAAGGGGAGATATGGGAGATGGGATTTTGAAGCATGAGTAAGAGTTTGACACATTTGACAAGTGGCTGGTTGGGCTCTGTGAGGGCTCAGAGATGACTCACCCCTGCCCCTTCCCTGGAGAGCGCTTGTCTCTGGCACTCCACTACCTGGATGTCTGTTTACTCTTTCTCTGTCTGTTATTCTCCCATTCCATCTATCTGAAGTCTCCTTTCTTCAGGGTTCAAGTCCCAGTTGGATGATCTTAAGCGAGTCTCTTCCCTTCTAGGTTTCAGTTTCATCATCTGTGAAATGGGGACCAGTGGTCAGTGGGAGATCAATAATAAGACAGTGCCGCTCTGAGTGTGGAACAGTGCAGCTTCTTGGTGTCTAGGTGGAAGCTCTGAGGGTGGTAGGGGCACAGGAGGGTTCAGGTGGACTCCTTGCAGGTCCTGCTGGGGCAGGAGGCTGGTGGTGGGAAGGTGGCTCAAGTCAGCCTTGGGTGGTCGGTGGCTACTAGCAACATGTCCATGGGTCTCCTTGCCATGCCACAGCTCTTGGTACTTGTCCAGGGGGCCACTAGCAGCCCCATTCTGTGCTGAGGTTCTCTGAGAAGCTGCATGTGACCCCCCAACTGTGCCTGCAGCCTTGTGTCCAACCTGTGCCTGCTCAGGCAGGCATCCTCACAAGGAAGCAGCCAGCCCGTGTCCTGGGGCTCTGGGTCCCACCACAGGTTTCCAGCAGGGCCAGCCAGAGGGCTCAGGGAGTGAGGAGGAGCTAAAACACAGAAACAAAAAGAATCTGGATGGTTCCAAACCCTACAACAACTCGCCCACTGGCAACCTGGGCAAGCCCCCCAATGCCACCCAGCCTCAGTCTCTCAATTGGCTTGTCTCCCAGTCGGTGATATTCACTGGGTACTCACAAAGATGCCTGGGACATTGTAAGCGCCACATATGTGCTGGGCAACTTCAATCCTGGCACTCAGATCAGTGCTGACCCATGGGACTGATGGCACAGGTGCCGCACTCGATACTGACTGCCTCTGTGGCCTCTGGCTACACAACTACTGAGCACTTCCTGGTGTGGTTGATTTTAATTAATTCTGACTTAAAATGAAAAACCAACACTGGATCCAGTTTTGGGGAAACGTCAGAGTATATTTCAAACAACATGGGAAGGGATGTGTGTGTTTTCCTTTTCAGCGTTTGGCAAGGGCCGTTCTGGATCTGTGGGCGAAATTCAGATGCTGCTTTTTTCTTTTCTTGTTATTTCCTTTTTGTTTTTTGGTGTGGCTCATGAGCTAAAAGTGATTTTTACATTTTTAAGTGGTTGAAAATAATAAAAACAATACTACTCCACAAAGCGTGAAAATCATAAAATATTCAAATTTCAGTGTTCAAAGTTTTTTGGTGCCCAGCTCATTGGCTTACTGACTGTTAACATGACAGCGTTAACCATTATGCGGGACTCTCTGGCCTTTCACAGAAAACCGTTTGCTGGCCCCTGGTCTAGGGTCTCAGCCTTCCCAGAATCCCAGAAATCCAGACTTGGACGTCCCAGAATGGAAATCCCGGAATTCTGGAAGCTATTATCCAGGCCGACCTTGGAGACACCTCAGAGATGCATTCAGACCACTGTAGTAATAAAGGCAGTATCTAGATAAGATGGGTTGTAACCTTTTTGCTGGTGGAGGGTCTTGACTTCCATTTGTAAAAAAAAACACACCTCTGTGAAGCACAAGAAAGCGAGCGCAATAAAACAAGGTGTGCCTGTAGTTCGAGAATGTGGACCTGAGGACTTCAGACTGATAGAATTGTATGATTCTATGTAATTCTCTGACTTCAGTGCCCCCACCTTGGAGCCTGGGTTCGAATCCCAACTCCCCACCAGGCTGTGTGACTTTGTGAAATTACACTCAATTTCTCTGTGCCTCATCCCCTATGTGCAAAGCACCGCCTGCCTGTGAAATGGATTTATACGTGGTATGACAACTAAGTTCGCGAACTTGTTGCAATGATGTTGCTAACCTTTTTTTTATATCAGAGGGATTATTCATTATGAATTTGTACTAACTGGACAAACAGCTAGCCAAGTTTACTATTTGGAAGTGCTGAAAAGGCTGTGTGAAAAAGTTAGACAACCTGAACTTTTCGCCAATTCATGGTTCTTGCATCACTACAATACACCAGTTTACATGGCACTGTCTGTGAGGGAGTTTTTAGCCAGTAAGCAAATAACTGTATTGGAACAACCCTCCCTACTCACCTGATCTGGCCCCCAAAGACTTCTTTCTTTACCCAAAGATAAAGGAAATATTGAAAGGAAGACATTTTGATGACATTCAGGACATCAAGGGTAATATGACAGCTCTGATGGCCATTCCAGAAAAAGAGTCCCAAAATTGCTTTGAAGGGTGGACTAGGCACTGGTGTTGGTGCATAGCTTCCCAAGGGGAGTACTTTCAAAGGTGACGGTAATGATATTCAACAATGAGGTATGTAGCACTTTTTCTAGGATGAGTTCACAAACTTAATTGTCTGACCTTGTATGTGTGAAACCTGAGATAAGCATTGTTCAGGCAACACGTGTCAAAATCTTAGGAGTTTTGGCCTCAGCTAGGGGAACCTGGCAGGGATTCTGGAGCCTCTGAAGCTTCCCTGTGCCCTTGACCCTGTGGCGCTCACAGGTCTGCCCCAAGACCCCTGGGGAGACTGCAGGGCTGAAGGATCTGAGGCTACAGAGGCCTCGGGTGTTTGGGCCCAGGGGTCTTGATGGCTGGGCACAGGGGGCTGCAGGTGCAGTGAGGGAGGGCCCTGGGGCCCCTTCCTGGTAGCCATCTCGGTGGCAGGGAACTGGTCTCTATAGTGTCAGGGCTGACGGGCTGGGTCCTTCAGCAGGGGCTTTTGGCCCTCCTGGGGGTAGCTTCAGCTGCTCCCCTTGCTCTCTGCAAACAGGCATTGTTTGCTCCTGGACACTTGCAAGTGGAACAAGCATGATGAAGGGACAAAAACAATAGCAGTGGTAACAATGGTCTCAACCGGGGAGCCTGTTAACTGGTGTCAGGAACCCCCCTTGCTCACAATTCGCCATATCTCCCCATTGCTCCTCAACAAAGGTGTCCTCCAGGCCTCCCCCACCCCTCTACTCTGAGAGCTCATCTTCCCCACTCTGCTCCATGTGTGGGCCTTTCCTCTCTCTGCCCTCTGCCTGATGCTCTCTCTACCTGGTTCCTTCACTGTCCTCCTTCCAACCCCTGCTCGAGGATTGCCTACTCAATGAGCCCCACACAGCCCCATATTACTCTCATGCCCCAGCCTGGCTCCAGCCCCAGCGCTGCCCCCTCAGCACCCCGACTCCCACACACTCCCACATCCTTCAGAATCCAGCCCAGCTTCTTACTTCCCCATTGTCCCCAAAAGGACTGTGTGGCATTCAGTCCCCCTCTGACTCTTGTGGTTTAGATTTATAACTGTCTCCCACCTTTGCCCTTCTCCAGAGGAGGCCGGGCAGTGGTCCCACTGCTAGCAGCTCAGTTTGGATGTGTGGCAAAGCAGCACTTGGGCCCTGTGTTCCTGCAACATGGGAGTGAGCACTATATGTGCTGCCAGATACAACAACCACCCCCCACATGGGCTATGTCAATGTACATAACATTAATAAAATAAATTAATAATTTATTTTATTTATTAATAAAATAATTTATTAATAAAATAAACTTTAAGTTTAATCCTGCTTCTCGGCCAAACTGGCCATGTCCCTGCTGGGGAGACTGGGTGAGTGATGCCTTAGTCGCTAGACATACCAGAGACCCACAGCGCCCCCACAGTAGGGCTGGGTGTGCTCCTCAGGTCAAGGGGACGACCTCCGCCTGGCCCTCTCCATTTGGAAAGCCGATTTTTTTTCTTCCTTTGCAGCTAACAAATGATCTGGGGGTGATCTATGATAATTTCAAGAGTGTGCATTTATTGAGAGCCTACTATATGCCAGGCCCGCCTCTGCACTCTCTGAAATATGAAGAGAATGACTTCAGCCTCCTGGTCGTGGTAGCAGGACCAGGTCTATCCACTCAGGGTGTCGGGCTTCCAGGATTATGAAACCCGGTAGGTAGGTCGGTTGGGAAGGTTCTTTCAGCCCCCAGGTCACAGCTGAAGTCACCTCCCTCCTGGCCACCCAATCCAATTCAGAACAGTCCCCTCCCCTGCCCCTCTCTTTCTCAGAGGTGCAGTCTGAGCTCCTCACGGTGATGCTCACCGTCAGGAACCAGACCAGATACCCCCTTGTCTGTTTGACTGTTTCCATGCTGGTTCCCCAAGTTCTGTGAGGGCAGGGACCCAGCCTGTGTGGCCACCACTGTGTCTCTAACACCCCGCATGGGTCCTGGGCGCTGTAAGTTTATTTCCTTGAACCCATCTCAGGCCTGGGTGTTCATTGTCCTTCCCCAAGGTGTCCGCTCAGGGTCCTGGTCCCATGCCTCCTGTCTCCCCCTCCTCCAGCCCTTCCACACTTCCACGTGACCAACCCCTGCCTTGAGTTGAAGAGTGAAGTGGAAGCATCTGGCATATAGTAGGTGTTCAATGAATGTTGGATCCTATTACCTCCATGGCTGCTAAGAGGTGTCCAGACCTGTCAAAGACGAAGGAGGGAGGGAGGGAGGGAGGGGAGGAGCATGTAGTCCAGAGGTGCCTACCCAGGTGGGTGGGCGGGCGGTGGAGGGGCAGACACACGTCCCAGCCTGGGGTAGCCAAGATCCACAGCATGACTGTGGATCTGAGAACTACTTCAGGTCCCGAGCACTTTTCAGGGCCATTTGTTTGCTTCGCAGAGTCCTGTCGTCCCCCATGGGTCAAGGTCTCGCAGGTGGCATGTGGCAGATGTACACCCGCATTTTATGGGGCAGACACAGGGGTCTGGGAGCAGGAGATGGGAGCAGATCACAGAAGGAAAAACCAAGGCCAAACCCTGAAAATGAGTCATTTTTACTAACAAAAACCAAAAATGAGTTTACTCGGGAGTAGCACGAGTTAGTTACAATGTTACAATTCGGGACAAGAGAACTAAGGCAAGTCGGATACTCAAGTCGGGATTTAGGAGCAGAGAGGAGACAGCCGGGAAGGGAACGGGGGAGAGGTGCAAAACGCGGCGTAGCAAACCATACTCCTCTCTCACGCAAGCGTGCGCCTCCTAACTGTTCGTTACTAGCCGGCACGGTCGCTGGGTCGGGGCGTGGTATGCACTCTTCTTCAAGTCTGCACAACCTGTGAGTAGTGAACAGGAGGAGCTCCTCCATTAGAGAAAGAAGCCCTATGGGGCACCCAGGAGCCTGCCTAGTGGTGTCACAAAGTACTGTGTGGCGGCCCGCAGCGGCTTACAAAATGAGGATTTTAAAAGTAATTCTTCTCTTGGCATTTAAAGGCCACAAATAATATTATTTTACAATTAGAGCGATTTGACCTACCTTTCTATTCGATGTGGCTTTTTAGAGTGCCACGTCAACCATCGCGCTTACTTAACTGTCTTTGATCACGCAAACCCCTCAAATGTTGACTAATTTAACTGCCCAAAGCGCACCCTCGCAGCCGCGGAGGATTGTGGGGGACAATATGCAAAAGAGCCAGACCACACAGTCCCGCCCCCAGGCGCCGCCAGGCTAGGGCCGGAAGCGGCTGCGGCAAGGCCGCCGGCATCCCAGCGTTCCCCACCAGCGGTGGGGTACCGCTCTTGCCGGCGCGGCGACTCGCTGGCGTCAGCAGGGCTGCGGAGGCGGAAGATGGCGGCGGTGGCCTGGCAGCCGTGAGGAGCGCGGCGGCGGCGAGGACGGCTGATGGCGGCCGGGAGGCTCCCTTGGGGACCCGCGGGCCGTTAGAGCGCGACGCTGGGCGGCATGTCGGAGCACGCAGCGCCTGGAGCCCCTGGGCCCGGGCCCAACGGCGGTGGCGGCGGCCCGGCCCCCGCGCGCGGGCCCCGCACCCCGAACCTCAACCCCAACCCGCTCATCAACGTGCGCGACCGGCTCTTCCACGCTCTCTTCTTCAAGATGGCTGTGACCTACTCGCGGCTTTTCCCGCCCGCCTTCCGCCGTCTCTTCGAGTTCTTTGTGTTGCTCAAGGTGACCGCGGCTACGACCCCTGACCCTTGACCCCAGCGGCCGGACCCTCCCCTCAGGCTTGCGACCTGTGACCCCGATCCTGCCTAGGACAGCGAAACCCTCCTATCCAGAGGTCTAGATCCGGCCCCTTTCCTGGGGGATCCTCATTTTAAGCGTGCCACCCCAGTCCCTGATCCCCTATCTGAGACTTCACCCTGGGAAGGCCCAGTCTCACTCCGTGGGTGGCCCCTTATCCTGACTCCAGGAACTCACTCTCAACCCTCTCCAGGCTGCACCCTACGTCTGGTGACCCATCCCTGTGAGGTCTGGAGCCTGGTCCTGACTTGTCAGGGACTTCCTCCCAGTCCTATGTCCCCTGACCATGCTGCCTGGGATCCTCACCCTGGGAGGACCCCCCCACACACGTCCCTTGCCTGTCCTCGCCCAGATTGCCAATCCTGGGCTTCCCCATTCCAGGCCCACCCTGACTTCCTCAGGATACACCCTAGAGCCACCCACCTGCACTGGAAGTACCACTTCCCCTTCCACCTCTTCCTTTTGCTCCCCTTTTTTTCAGTACTCTCTCCCTCCTTGGGACCTCCCACCAGTCCCCACCGCACCTCTCCCTTCTCTGAACCTCACAGGGATATGTGACCTAGCTAAGGTCCACTTGCCAGGGTTAGTAGCAAAGTCACAGCTAGTGCTGCTACTCTAGAACCTCCCTTGGGTGGCACAGAGGTTTCAGCTATGAGTGTGGCTTAGTAAGCACCTGTGTTAGCCTGGGCCCTTCCAAGAAGGGGCCTCACTCAAGTGTGGGTCCAGACAAGGAGCTGGCCAGACGAACGCCAGGGTTCTGGGTTCCTGAGCAGAAGGGTGGCCCCAGTTGCTAACTGCAACTTCTGAGGAAAGGGAGAAACAACCCTTTAGTTTACCGTCAGAGTTCCGCCACGGAGGGGCTGGGGGTGCTGATACTGCCAAGTGAGCTTCAGGTCCCTGTCTGCAGAAAGGGGGCTGATGCTGGCAGTGGAGGTGCTTGCGTTGTCAGCCAGCCCCAGGGCCTGGAGAGCTGGGCTGAGGGCTAAGGAGAAGGGGGTTGCAGGGTCAGCCGTCTGACTGCTTCTTATCACCTCTGTGGGTCTCTGACCCCTCCCCGGACTTCACAACTCCCACCACCAACTTGGTCCCCAGACACCATGTTGGGGAGAAGGGCTGGGGTGCAGACTGGCCTGTGGGAGGCTCGTCTGGCCACACTGCTTCCTCCAGTCCCCTCCTCCCCTGGCAGAGACCCCAGCTGTATTCTTGTCTCTGCATCTGTCTGCTGAGACCTGAATGCCTGGGTGCCTGGGGGCTACAATGTTTATCTGCTGATATCTCAGTGATGCCCTAATCTCTGTCCCCCTGCTGCACTGGCTGCAAGTGAAGGAAACAGTTCACGTTTGCCCAAGAGGGATCTTGGACCTCATGAAACTGGGGAGCCAAAAGTGGGATCCTATAGCTTTAGGCATGGCTGGATCCAGGCATGCAACAGTGCTCTTGGAGGTGGGGCCTCTCCCCATCCCTCTCTGGTCACAGCCACTTTGGCTGGGCCAACTCGTTAGTGGGTGCCTTACTGACTTGGCCTTTGTTCACGCTGCAGAACATACTCCAAAGGGTGACCATGGCTGGCGTTAGTACCACCCTTCGAGGCTCATGGAAGGGAGGGGGTTCTGGTGGCCCTGCTAGTGGCTGTATGGCCATAGGTGGTTCACCACACCCCTGGGCATCAATGTCCCCATCTTAGGGCAGGGAGGGGCTTTGTGCTCTGGTCTCTCTGTGATCCAACTGGACCATATAGTCAGCAAGTCCTGGAGAATGGGAATTTGGTGTGGGAGCATGTGGGAGTACTTGGAGGCTGTGCTGGTGCAGCTGAGGGTTCATTCCAGTCTGGCTGAGCAGCCACTGGGGTTGCCAGCTCCCTGACACCCATCTTTCCTGGGGAGGCAGGCGCTACATTGGGCCAGCTGGTGCCACATTGGGCCACCCTTTTCCCCAAGGGTGGGGCAGTGGATGGGATGCACAGGGGTGATGCCCTGGACTCGGCCTCTTGTCTGGGAGGGTGACACTCAGCCACCTGGGGCCCCATGAGAAGTAAGACCATCAGGTAGTAAGGTAGGCTCTTGAGGAAGGTGTCCCTAAGTAGAACCATGTGGAGGGCCCTTTAGACATACTTTTAGTCAGGTGGAAGGTGCTGTTGGTGACAGGGCAGAATTTCTGCTCAGTACTTCTAACATCAAGATACTGGTTCTCCGTGGGGGCCATCCTGGGCACTGTGGGGTGCTGAGCAGCATCCCTGGCCCCACCTCCCTGGATGCCAGGAGCACACCCAGTGTGACAACCACAGATGTCCCCAGCCCATGGACAGAACCACCTATCCCAAATTTACCAATGTGGGAACTGGGCTTCAGAGAGGCACAATGAGCTGTCCCAGCCCACTAGGGTTGGCTGTGTCCTTGCAGTTGCAGCTGGCCCTGCCAGTGGGGAGGGGTACAGGGGTCATCTGGCGGGCAAGGGAGGCTGTTTTTATTATTTTTTTTTATTGGGGAATTGGGGGGATGGGAACAGTGCTGGGGAACTGGGGGAAGGGGAACATACAAGTTGCTGTCATTTTTGTTCTTCAATCTAGTTGTGGAGGATGTTGCTTCACTGGCCCAAGTTGGCACCGTCATTGCGCTCTTCCCTGGTGAGGCAGATCAGTCGCCGGCTTCTGGACGGCCGCTCACTGCGGCTGCTGGCCGCTCACGCTGGCTGCTGGCTACACATGGTAGCCCATGGCAACCCACTGCCAAAGGGGCTGCAGCCGGTGCTGGCGCCGGCGACTCACGGCAGCCCAGCTCCAGGTTGAGCTGTTGTTCAGCATCTTAGCTGTGGAGGGCAGTGTCGCTGGCCCTCATATGTGGGATCCGAACCAGGGCCCTCTGGCATCCCAAGCGAGTTCTTAAGCATCGCGCCACTTGGCCGGCCCCAAGAGAGGCTGTTTTTAGCTGGTGAGGTCAGGGGCGCTCTGAGAACAAGGCAGAGCATAAGGTAGCTGGGCAGCAGCGGGTAGCCCAGGGGTGGCAGCACCTGGGCTGCGCCTCCCAGGATGCGAGCAGTTGTTTGATGGTGCCATGGTCTCTGCCCGGTCCCCTGTCAGGTGGCCTCTCCTAGGGTGGGGGGCAGGGTTCATTCTGGCTCACCCAGGGCAGGGTGGTCAGGGCCTTAGACCAGTGACACCCTCAGGTCCCAGGTTGTTGGGAGGGGCCAGTATGGGCTCAGGGCTTAGGGACGTCAGCGCCCTGGGGTCCTCTTTCCCCATAAAGCTCAGACCTTGCTGACCGCCCCCACCCCCAGGCCCTGTTCGTGCTCTTCGTGCTGGCCTATATCCATATTGTCTTCTCCCGCTCGCCCATCAACTGCCTGGAGCACGTGCGTGACCAGTGGCCACGTGAGGGCGTCCTGCGTGTGGAGGTACAGCCGAACTCCAGCCGCGCACCCGTCTTCCTGCAGTTCTGTGCTGGTGGCCGCAGCAGCTTCCCCAGCCTCACTGCAGCGCCCAGTGGCCTGGAGCTGGAGGAGGAGGATGAGGAAGAGGTGGAGCTGACCATGGAGATGTTTGGGAATCACTCCATCCAGGTGAGCTGCCATAAGTAGGAGGGTGTTGTTGCTGGGAAAGTTAGGGACCTCAGCCAACTCTGCGGCTCCTGTTGAGGTGGGACTGGGCATTGTGCCAGGCAGACTGTCACCTGAAAGCGAGTGGCCTCGTTCTGGGGGTGCTGAGGAGGTCCTGGGAAGCTCTGGGCTGAGACCTCTGGTGGCCCCAGGTGGTGCAGCTGCCCAAGGGTGGGTGTGTGTGGCCCACAGCCTATAGGGAGAAACATGCTCATACAATCAGAGGCAGGGGTCCCGTGGGCGAGGGGTTGGTGCAGGTGGACTGTTGTGTAGACCTTGCCAGGCAGCCCAGTCCCATTGATCCTTTTCCTCCCAGACCCAAGGCCCTGCCCCCAGCTTCAGCATGTAGACCCTCACTTGGAGACCACCAGGAGCTTGGTGTTGGGTGAGGGTCTTTGGCAGGACACCGGTCAGAGGTCCTCCAACCCTAGATGTGGAGGACATTTCAGCAGAGGCTGGGGGGTTACAGTGGCCAGGGGCGGAGTGCATCTCCTTCCAGGTAGCAGGAGAGGGGCCTCCAGGCCAGACCCCCTGGTGCTGTGGGCCCACAGATGCTCTGCTTCCTGCTGCCCTACAGTTTGAGTTGGACATCGAGCCCAAGGTGTTCAAGCCGCCTGGTGCTCCCGAGGCCCTGAATGACAGCCAGGAGTTCCCCTTTCCTGAGACATCCTCAAAAGGTACATGCCGCCGAGGTGTCAGATGAAGTCAACTGGGGGGTCATGCCCCTGGCTGGAGGAGCCGAGCAGCGCTGGCCGGGGAGAATGGCCACTCCAAGCCTCTATTTCCCCATCTGTCAGCAGCATGTGAGGCCGAGGGAGATGCTTCCCCCCCGCCCCGGGACCCTCTTCTGTGAATGCGGGAGGAGGGCTTGGCCAGGGCTCCACTGGCTGACTGGTGGTGCCCACCCGCAGTGTGGCCTCAGGACGAGTACATCGTGGAGTACTCGCTGGAGTATGGCTTCCTGCGCCTGTCGCAGGCCACACGGCAGCGGCTCAGCATCCCAGTCATGGTGGTCACCCTGGGTGAGTGCCCCTGGTAGAAGGCCTGGGTGGGGCTGACCCCGAAGCATGTGAAACCCAAGTCTGGGAGCCATCCCTGCTTCATCAGCAGGAAGCTGTCCCCAGGCTCTGTCCTTTGGGGCCTTATGGTCACAGCACTGTTCGGGTGGGGTGGGTAGGCTGGTGGGGGCCTTAACCAGGCACACCCCATCACATGCATTCCACCTACAGACCCCACACGGGACCAGTGCTTCGGAGACCGCTTCAGTCGCCTGTTGCTAGCTGAGTTCCTGGGCTACGATGACATCCTCATGTCCAGTGTGAAGGGCCTGGCTGAAAATGAGGAGAACAAGGGTGTGACTGGGACCAGGATGGGGTGGGGGGGCCCGGTGGACAGGCAACTGTGCTCACGGCTCCCCTGCACAGGCTTCCTGCGGAACGTGGTGTCCGGTGAGCACTACCGCTTCGTGAGCATGTGGATGGCCCGCACATCCTACCTGGCTGCCTTTGTCATCATGGTCATTTTTGTGAGTGCCACAGGGCCGGGCTGGGCTGGGCAGAGGGTGTGGGGCATTGGGTGGGCAGCTCTCGCCGGTCTCACGCTGCCTCACTTGCAGACCCTGAGTGTGTCCATGCTGCTCCGCTACTCCCACCACCAGATCTTTGTCTTCATTGGTGAGTCTCCCCAGCAGCCTGCGGGTGGGGCCAGCCCTGCCCCCAGGGGCGCCTCACGCGGTCTGCCCGCCCGCCGTCCTCTGCCCGCAGTGGACCTGCTGCAGATGCTGGAGATGAACATGGCCATCGCCTTCCCTGCGGCACCCCTGCTGACCGTCATCCTGGCCCTCGTGGGTGAGAACCCCGCCTGTCCTCCTGCCTCCCTGCCCTACCCCCACACCCACTGTCCCGCCAGGGTCCCAACCGCTAGCTTCCCACAGGGATGGAAGCCATCATGTCAGAGTTCTTCAACGACACCACCACTGCCTTCTACATCATCCTTATCGTGTGGCTGGCTGACCAGTACGACGCTATCTGCTGCCACACCAACACCAGCAAGAGACATTGGCTGCGGTGAGTGCCACAGGGGTCCAGGTGGGGCAGGGTGGGGTGTGGGCGGGCAGTGCCTCATTCTGTCCCCTGCAGGTTCTTCTACCTGTACCACTTCGCCTTCTATGCCTACCACTACCGCTTCAATGGTCAGTACAGCAGCCTGGCCCTGGTCACTTCCTGGCTCTTCATCCAGGTGAGGGGCCCTGCCTGCCCCAGGGTGTGGCCTCGGGAGGCCTGCCACTGGGCAGGGCTTGACCTGCATCCACCCTGCCCCCCCAGCATTCCATGATCTACTTCTTCCACCACTATGAGCTGCCAGCCATCCTGCAGCAGATACGAATCCAGGAGATGCTGCTGCAGACACCACCGCTGGGTCCTGGCACCCCTACGGCACTGCCGGACGACCTCAACAACAACGGGGGCACCCCAGCTACCGCCCCTGACCCTGCCGGCCAGCCCCCTGCCCTGGGCCCTGGCTCGCCAGGGGTTGGTGGTGTCCCTGGGTCCATGGCCGAGGCACCCAGCTCTCTTGTGGCTGCAGCAGCCTCAGTGGCCGCAGCAGCCAGTGGAGACCTGGGCTGGATGGCGGAGACAGCTGCCATCATCACAGACGCCTCCTTCTTGTCCGGCCTGAGCACCTCCCTCCTGGAGCGGCGGGCAGCCGGCCCCCTGAACCCAGGCGGGGGGCTCCCTCGGGGCCCCCAGGCACCCCAGGACAGTGCCCTCCCAAACGATTCCTCAGCACTTGACACAGCGCCTCTGGCTGCTGGGGTTAGTGGGCCCAGCCCTGAGTCCATGGCCCCAGCAGACTCGCCCTCGGAGGCTGGCTCCTGAATCCTGAGCAGCTGAGTGCCTCAGTTCCTGGCTGTCCAGGCTGGCTGGGGCCCTCGGGGGTCAGGGAGGCAGTCACTGGTGTCTCCAGGACTGCCCAGCTTGCACTGTGGTGTTGGGGTCCATCTGGTTTGCCCAGGGGTGGGCTCCTCTCCTTGGGCTTGGGGCCTGCCTGCAGCCTATCCCTGCCACATTTGTGGTAGGCCCCCTCAGCCAGCAAATTGAGGCAGGTTGATTAGCCAGGGCAGGAGGTGGGGGTGGGGACTCCATGGAAGGTTCTGGAAGGGGTTGGTGAAAGGTCTAGAACGAGGTGTACCTGAGGGCAGAGCCTGGCAGGTCTTTGAGCCAGGTGAACACGGATGGGGATTGGCTGCCTGGCTGGTGCTTGTGCCCAGTGCCTTTTCCATGGCCCTTGCCCGTGCGCGTGTGTCTGCGCGTGCGCAAGACAGGGCTGGGGTCCAGGGAGGGCAGGGCTGGTGTCTCAGGCACAGGGATGCCAACGCTGAAGGCAGTAGCGGGGTGCTAGGGTCCAGCTGTGCTGGGGCGGGAGAGCAGCCAAACCAAGTGACTCGGTGAGGACTGCGGAGGGCTCATTCTGTTTTGTTTAATTGCAGTGTACGAAATTGTGTTTGTATATAGAATAAACATGACAGCGCCCTGCCAGCGTTTGCGCGTGCGCCCAAGGCTGGGGCTGTTTGCGCAGGCTCCGGGTGTGTGTGTGTGTGTGTGTGTGTGTGTGTGTGTGTGGGAGGGGCGGGTTGGGGGCATCACCACCTCCTACCCGCGCGCAACAGGTGGAGGCGTCACGGGGCGGTCCCAGGCGTTTCCGCGTAGGCCTGGAGCAAGCGAAGCGGCCGGTTGCAGGCGCCGCCCGGGAGCTGAGCCAGGAGCTCCCTGCGCCGTAGCAGCGCCTGGCGGAGTCGCGTCTGCGCGCCCGCAATGTGCCGTTCCAGCTCCTCCAGCTCGCCGGGCCGCGGGGCGCCCGTGGGCAGCGCGGCGGATGGCCAGCCATTGGAGCAGAGCCAAACGGGGCCCTCGGGCGGCCTGGCTCCACCCGCATCCATGTCCGCGGCGGGTGAAGCAGCGACGATGGCTGGCTCCAGCAGGAAGCGCACGCGACGCTGCTTCCCTACGACCCGGCGCACCCGTGTCCAGCCGCCCGGGTCCGCGGGGGCGGCTATCATGTCCTGCTGCTGCTTCTCCGGACCTCTGGGGACGGACGATAGATGGGGCTGGACAAGTGTTCCCCGAGGAACAGGGGCAGCCGCGCCCTACCCATGGCCCCGCTGTGCCCTCTGGGGTGGAGGTTTCTGAAGAGGCCCCAGGCGGTGGGAGACATGGACCGAGCAGTCTGGCCTTGGGGGAGGTAGGGATAGGTGTAAAGTGGCCGGCCTGGGAGGGGTGGGTAGCGACTCCGGAGCCTCTTACCTCCGTTCCGGCTCCTCCGGCCCGTCAGGCGGCTCTAAGTTGAGGGCGCGGTGTATTCTCTGCGAGCCAGACAGAGGCTGGGTCAGGTCGGGTCGGAGGGCTGCCTATGCCTACCCGCCCTGTGCCGGCCCCTCACCTGGCTCGTGTGCAGCCAGTACTGCAGCCTGTTGCCTCTTCGGATGCGTGGCAGCGCCAGGCGGTAGAAGACGTGCTCGCCCAGCAAACTGAGCAGGGCGCTGCCCAGGCCCAGGCAGAGCAGCACAAAAAGACCCGAGAAATGGTAGATGCCCATCTGGAGGGTCTGTGGTGGGCAGAACACAGGCATGAACCCTTCACGACCAGGACAGACCCTTGAGGAGCCCTGGCCTGGGAAGGAGAGGGTGGGCCAGAGACAGGGGCCTGGGGCTGTGCAGCTGGATTGGAAGGCTAGGGCTTCATGTTATGGAACAAGGTTTCATGGAGGAGAGGGCACTGGAGCTGGGGTTTTGTAGGATGAATAGGAATGCACAAAGGCAAATACACATCTCAGGAATAAGCAGGGGGTTGGCCACCTCAGTCAAGGCCCATGCAGGCTCAGGGCCCCCACACCTACTCCCACCCTGTGTCCCGGGCCCTGTCCCACCTCTGTGAAGGCGAACACCCGCTTCCCACAAGGCACCATCTTGTACCACTTGTCATGCAGCAGATCGATGAAACCGGACGACTTGTACCGGCTGATGAACTCAGACAGGTTGGAGGTGAGTGGTGAATTCTGTGGGAGCCCAATGCCATAGCCTGGAGGAGGCCGGGGGTCTGGTTGGGACCAGCCAGATGCAGTCCCTGGGGAACTGTGCCCATCTTGAGTCATTCATTAGTGGCTCTCCGCTGCCCCAGGATCACTGGGACCAGGAGACCCCTCACCTTCGATGGCGAAGGGTTTGCCCACGGTCAACAGTTTGCAGTCGGTGTCAATGGAGACCTCGTAGTCCAGAAGCGACTTGTCCATGATGAAGGCGTTGAGTTTCGGAGGGTCGCTCCTGCAGGGTTAGCGGAGGGGGTAAGTAGCCGCCTGGGGTTGGGGGCCCGCCCCGGCGCCCCGCCTCCCGCCAGTCTCACGTGAGCATGGCGACGCCGTGGGGTGTGGTGGGCGCGCTGTGGCGCCGCATGTGCGTGTGCATCTCGGGGAAGCTCTTTTTGATGTAGGCCTCCGCACTGCTCTCCCACACGGTGCCAAAGCGGAAGCCCTGGGATGGGTGGTGCAACTGCGGGCCAGCGACTGGTCAGCGCCAGGCCGCCCCTGCGCCCCCACCCAACTCTGCTCTGCCCCCCCAGCCCGAGCCCAGGACGCTTAACCAGCGTCTCTACTCCACAGGTCTGACGTAGGACCCGGTCATTCTCTGTGAGTGGGCCGCCTGGGCACTTATGAGTGTAGAGCATGGGCATCCCTGGCGATGCCAGGAGCACCCCCAATGTGACAACCACAAATGTCTCCAGACGTGGCCCATGTCCCCTGGGGGCACATTACCCAGTTGAAACCCACTGTTCTAAGAACCCAAACGTCTATCTTCACCCACGCCTGGCTCTGAACTGCAGACCTCTGCCTCCCACCACCTCCACAGCTCCCTTTGGGGTCCCACGGGAGCCCCAAGCTCACCACATCCAAAACCCCCTCCCCACCTGCCTCCTAGGTCTTCCCACCCCAGCCAGGGCAAATCGTTCTTCCTCCTCTCTCCCTCATCTCCAGATCCCACCCTGCAAATCGTGTAGGCTCTGCTCACCTTCAGAACACCCAGAACCAGGCACTTCCAACCCCTCCTCATTGCCCCCGCCCCCAAGGCCAGCGCAGTTCCTTCCCCCTGGTCTCCACAGGGGCCCAGGATCTGTGCAGACTCCTACTCAATGAGTGTGCAACTGCTCCCATGGTGCTATAGCACCACCAAAAGCCACACGAGCTAGACTGAGTCTTTAGAGCAGTGCCTTTTAGAACTTTCCAATGATGAAAACATTCTGTACCTGTGCTGTTTCTGTGGCTGTTGAGCACTTGCATTTAACTAACTTGATTTTTAAATTAGCCATACCTGTTGAGTGGCTAGCACATCCAACTGCTGCATCTAGGTTTTATTATGGGTTTACAGAGAGCATGGGGGTTGGGAAGCAACAGAACAGGCTAAACACCCCTCAGGGGACGCAATCAGCCAGATTCAAATAGTGGGAGACACTATGGGGCAGAACAACAATGGGGAGAAAAGATGGAGAGGGAACCCAGAGATGAGAGGTATCTGCCATCTACAATATCTGGGCGTTTAGGGTCCAGATTAAAAAACTGTGGTGGTGGTAGGGAGATAACTGGGAAAGTGGGCTCCTGATGTCTGTCAAAGTTCCCGAGTATATATGATGAAATGATGGGCTGGGGTTTGTTTCACAATAACCCTGCAGCTGGGGCTGTGGTGGGTGGAAGGGGCCAGGACTTGATTTGGGGGTGGGTCAATGGGTTCACTCATGGCATTCTTTGCTCGGTACTCAGACTCAATTTTTTTTTTTCATTAAAAAAGATGTGGACTGAGGTACACCCCTGCCCTCCAGGCCTCCCAGTGCAAATTGTGTCTCAGGGGGCACTGCTTTAGAGGCTCTGCATGACCTGCCCCTTTGTCTGTCACCTCCTTTGCTCACTTTGTTCCAGCCACAGGGGCTTCCTCACTATTCCTCCAACACGCTAGGCACAGGCACAGTCCTGCCCCAAGGCCTTTCTTTAGATAGACTGTGCCCTTGCTTCTCTGATGTGTGCATAAAAGTCCCTCAAATGTCACCCCCTCCTGGAGGAATTCCTAACCCCTATTTTAGGAAATGTCCCTTCCAGCAGTCTTACGTTCCCACTCTGCCTTACTTTTGTCCCTGTGTGTTATCACCTGTCTCACACACCAGCTGTTTTGCTTGAGTCTTGTCATGTCCAATTCCCAGGAATGGGGATCTTCAAGTTTTGTTCCAACTGGGTCCCCAGTGCCTGGCACACCCTAGGTGCTCAATAAACGTTTGTTGGAATGGATGGCCGCATGCGGCTGGATTTTGGACCCAGCAGTGGGTGAGTGGACTGGCCCAACAGTGGGTGTGGGCGACCTCCCACCTCTGTCCCCTGCCCCCGTAGCTGCCCACCTTGGGATCGTGGATCCCTGATAGCTCCTCGAAATTCTTGTCCCCCACCATGACGGCGGCCAAGTTGGCCGTGTAGCTGGACAGCACGAGCAGGCAGAAGATGGCCCACAGGTTCATGAGCAGACGCCCCGTGGGGCACTTGGGTGTCTTGCTGGACACAGTGCGTCCAAACAGGATGGCATAGCAGAGGTTGAGGGCCGAGGAGTAGGAGAAGACGGTGCCACGGTTCCGGCCGCGGGGCGTGAGGCCGTAGGGGCTGCGCCACTCGTAGAGTGTGAGGAAGAGCGCGGTGAGGTGCAGGGCGGCAAAGACGCCCAGCCACATAGACCAGTGCAGCGGCCACATGAAGGCGCCGATGGGCGACGCTGTGTCACGTGCGCGCACCATGATACCCAGGCTGGTGGAGAAGAAGGGACTGCTGAAGTCCACCACCTGCGAGCGTGCCGAGTTGATGCTGAAGCTGGTGACCGCCATGTGGGCCCTGCCGGCCAGCAGGTCGCCCACTAGGCCGGTCCAGCGGCCGTCCCGCAGGGCGCCGTACTTGCCGTCACCCACGATGTACAGCTCGAAGTTGAAGAGCATGTCCTCCGCCAGGCGCTCCAGTAGGTCTATGCAGTAGCCATAGCAACACTTGCGCAGGGCGCGGGGCACCGAGCCATTGGCCAGTGCGGCAAAGAGTGCGTCCAGGGTGGCCGAGTCGTTGGTGCCAGGGGCCAGGCACAGCTGCCCCGCTGGGCACTGCCCGTCCTCATCTGGCTCTCGAGCAAACACGAACGGGTGCTCCACCAGTGTCACCACACGCAGTTTGGGCTGGGCCTGGGCTCTCAGTGGGGGAGAGGGCCGCGCAGCGGCTCCCCCCGGCTTCAGCTCCAGCCTCCCGTCCTGCCAGCTGCCCAGCATGGCCCAGGCTGGGGTGCCCAGCGGGTCCTGACGCAGACTCCACACGCGGAAGTGCCGGGACATGTGCACCTGCGAGGAGCTGGTCACCCACACTGGCCCTGTGCGGCCCTCGAAGGATGTGTTGCCCAGGAACCTGGCAGGAGGTGGGGGACAGGCAGGTGTCAGGCAGCAGGAGCCCCCTCAGCAAAGCTCAGACCCCGCCCCCCTACTTCTCAGCACACACCAGGACCACAGTGGATGTTGTGCCCCACACACACCAGAGCCCCTTCTCAGGCTCTGCTCCAACCAAGACAGGCACAAAGCTGCCATCTTGTGAGGACCACAGTGCCTGGCACACAGCAAGTGCCCAATAATGTTGGGGGATAGAGGCAGCTCCATGTGGGGGCTGCACACGCTTCCCAAGCAGGGTCCTCTCTCACCGTGCCAAGAAGCGGCTGGAGGACTTGGGCACAGCTGGCTGCAGGTCGTTGCAGTTGACTGTGGCAGGAAGGAAGGTGCCCTCTGGCTGTACACGGGCTGCACTGCCCAGTGCCCGTGTCACCAGCTCTACCGCATCGTGGATGGCAGCCTCCAGTGGGGGTCGAGCCACCTCGCCCAGTGCAAGCAACCCAGGTGGCATGCCCTTGGTGGGCAGTGCCTCAGCAGGCAGTGGTGTGCCCAGCAGCCAGCGGGGCCCAGGGGGCACGACCTCCAGCACTTGCCAGGCTGTAGCCGCCTGGCAGCCAAGGAGCACAGCTACAGGTACTGGGCCTGAGCCCCCTACTGGCGCCCCCAGTGGGGCCAGACGGGCCTGCAACCCTGCATTGCCTGTGTCCGGCCTGCTCAAGTCCAGCACCAGCTTTGGGACCCGGCCAGCCCGGCTTGTCCAGAGGGCCACCAGGCCACCAGGGTCCCGCATGCGGCAGAGGGCCAGGCCAACGTCCTCCCAGGCATGTGCCTGCAGCACAGACACCAGCACATCAAGCAGCGTCTCTAGGGGGTTGGCCCAGTCCAGCTGTAGGTGGAACGGGTTCTGGGAAGAGGGTGGTCACAGTTAGAGCTGGTGACCTCCATGTCCCACCACACCTTTCCCACCCACATTAGTAGTTGTTCAATAAACAGACGTCACCTTGATAACTGGATCTTGCTCCTGCCTCCTCCCAACCCACTCCTGCTCTAAACCCTTTTGTGGCTCTCCACAGCCATTAGCACAAACCCCAGCCTCCCTGGTCTTACATTCAGGGCCTTTTCTTGTGTCTCTGGCCACCTTGGTAGCACTTTGAGGCTTTATGCACGTGCCATTCCCTATCTGGAATACCTTCTTCCCTCTATGCCTGCCAACTCCTACACATTCTTCAAAACCCAGCCCCACTGCCTCTCCTCTATTTAGATAACCCCATCCCCCACACAGAACTCTGGCTCCCTCTTTGGACTCTCCCAGCCTTAAGGCCCTCATTCCCCACAGTCCTGACCTCATCCAGCCCTCCCATCTAGGAGCCCCTGGAGGGCCCAGGACTGGGTCTTCCTGATCACAAACTGGCTGATGCCCTTGTGCTCAGAGCTAAGCCACAGTGCTTCCTCTTAGGACCCCTTCCCTCCTACACATCACTTCCCTGTGCCAGGCAAGCCAGGGGCTGAGGTGCCCAGTAGTACCCAGAAAGTTTTCCTGGATTTGCTCAGCCTGTGAAGGACAAGAGAACTTTGCCAGACACCTAAGGTGGGCAAGCTGTTGCCTGCATAGGGACAGGACGACTAGTGCTGGGAGACAGGCTGGACACTACTGCTCGGTTCCTGGGGGTTCAAGCTAGTCCCCACAAAAGCCCGCCAGTTCCAACTGCAGGGGCACAGTTCCTGGAGGCGAAAGCGGAGGGCGCCACAGCCCTGGATTTGGGTTTTGCATCTCTCCACCTCGAGAAGGCAGGGGGACTCCAGTAGGCTTCTCAGCACAGGGACAGCAGGGTCAATGGGACCCTGGCCTCCTCTAGGGTCAGGGACTCCCCTCCCTGAGGAGAAGGAAGGCCTGAAAGGGGTGGGTTTGGAGAGAGGGAGGGTGCTACCAGCCCCCATGTCCCCGCGTTGGGCTCCTCCCTGCTGGCCCTGGGAGGAGAGGTGTCTTTCCTTGGGTCACAACAGGGTCCCCAGGGCCCTGCCAATCATCCTTTTCCCATTTTCTATTTTCGTCCCAAATCCGGGCCTGAGGTGGGGGTGGAATCTAGAAGAGAAAATCAATTCCAAGAGTCGTAGAGGATGGAAAGCTTTGGAGTGACTGGTGACACAAGAAGGGCAACCCTGGAAGCGCGAACAAGGAGCCCCGCTTCCTCTTCCCAGCCCCGCGGTCTTGCTTGGTGGGAACCCGGAGGGGCCCTCGGATCTGGAAGGGCCCTCACAACGAGGGGAATGGGTCCTGGGGGCCAAGGGAGCAGGGGCCGCGGTGGCGAGACTCCACCACCAAGGCCCAGGGAAAGGGTATGCACGGGAGTTCCGTGTCCCCAAGGGGGCGTCCTGTGGGTTCGGCCATCCGGGGTTCCGGAACCACATGGGCCCAGGGCTCCAGGTCCCCGCGACTCATGCATCCGCCGTCCAGAAGTCCGGATCCCGAGCGCCCCAGGGACTCCGGCATCGGACCCCCACTGCCCGCGCCCCAGGAGCGTTCCGGGGCCTCCCTCATCCGCACCCCAAGTTCCCATGCTTCTTGACGCCCAGCGTCGCGCCTACCGGGGTGCCGAGGGGCGCGCGCGCCTCCCGCCGCAGCACGCTGAGCACGGGGGTCTCAGTGGCGGCTGCCAGGAAGTGCAACTGCAGTAGCTCCGGCTGTGCCTCGGGGAAGGCGAGTACGGCCACTACGCCCGGCGCCGCCAGCGTCTGGCACAGGCCGCGGGCCAGCGAGGCAGGATCGCGGGCGGGGGGCGCAGTGGCCACCAGCTCCAGGCTCAGGTTGTACGGCATCCGCGGCGCCAGAGCAGCCCGAGCCAGTGAGGCGCGGGCGCGGGCGCGGGCGCGGGGCGCGCGGGGCAGGACGACGCCCAGGCGCACGGAGCCCCCCAAACGCGCCAGGACGCCGCACGGCTGCGGGTGGCCCCCGGCGGGCCCGGGCCCCAGCGTCAGCGCCAGGCCGAACCACAGCGTTCGCACAAACTCCATCCCAAAGTTGCCAGCCGGGAGCTGCAGGACGGAACGGCTGGTACCACGCTACGGAGGCGGGATTCCCGCCGACCCAGGCCACTCCCTTCCCCGTCCCCGCAGGCTGGAGCACCCCTCCCTGCCCAATTCCGCCGACCTACTCCCGCCCTCATCGCCTCCCAACCCCACAATGACAAGGACCCACTAGGGAGCTGGACCCACTCACTACCCAGGGCCGGGAAACGGAGGTTCAGATGGCACGCAGCGGAGGGGTGGGATACAACCACGGCTCTTCCTCACTCCGTGCCAGCTAAGTTATCTCCCCATTCTACAAATGAAACCAAGATTTCACACCAGGGAGAGAATTTGGTAAAAAATTGGCCACATATACCTGTTCTACTCCAGGACATCCCCCTCCTGCCTGGGAACGTGGCCCATTGTTCAGTCAGGGACACTGCAACCCAGGAGGGGTCGGGATTTGTCTCCATGGTCACACATCCCCTCACCTCCAGGAAGAAATGCCTCCATCTGAGTGTGCTCCAACATCGTGTGCACCCTGGGGAAACCGAGGCAAGAGTATCTGATGGGACCCTAGAGGACAGATCTGCCTGCTAGCTGTGGGTAGGCAACTTGGACTAGAAAACTCTTTACCCTTCAAGACCCAGTGCCAAATGCCCCTGCTGATAAACATTCCCTGCTTGTCACCCCAAAATATGCAGAACACCCTCCCAGACACATTTAAGCTTCCCCTGACTACATTAACTCCATCTTTTTATTTGCTTTCTTATTTACTGGATAGCACCCCCCACTCAACTCTAGGAGGGCAGGGGTGGGTCTAGCTTTTTAACTGCTCTGTCTCCAGGGCTTGCGCACAGCAGGAACTCTACAATTGCTTAAGTAACTACTCAGACAAGGACACTTGATCACCCTCCACTGCTCCAGAACCTTCCGTACCTCCCTGCCGTCTGCCAATCCCCAAGCCTTCTGGTGATCTCTGGGACTCCCCACCTCAAACGACCCGGGGTCCCTGTGGCCCTGGCATGCAGCGGTGCCCAATAAACATGGCGGAATCAGGGCCAGCAGCTCCCTGCACAGAATTCTCATCACGTCCTTCCTGGGGTGGGTATGGGGGGAGGGCAGAGAAAAATGACATCTTCCAGACCCCTTTGGGGTACAGGGCAGGTGCTCAGACATGGAACATTCCAGTTCTAATGAATGCATAATCTATACTTTTTTTTCCCCACACCACATACATTCCCTTTTGGAGCCAGGAAAAAAACTCCATTAGATGAATAAAAATTCCAAGTGCCAGCCTGCATTAAGGATAGAAATTCACGATGACTGTAATGAGGGCTGGATTCCAGGTGACAAAGAGCCCACCTCATCCAGTCACCTGGCCAAGCATCCCCAAATAGGGAGAGTCCCCAAGGATCACAGATTCTGGGCCCCTCCCTGCCTGAGGTCATCATCAAGCCAAGGAGTACCCCATCTGCTCAGGTGCTGGGTGAAGTACCATTATAGTGTCCTCAGGGACCACCTGGGCCTCATCCCACCCTGGGGTACAGTCCCTCTGACAGCATGAGCCCTGAAAAAAAGGGGCCTCTCCTGGGTAGGGGATACTTCCTCACCCTCATCCAACCCCCAGCATTCAGGTGGTCTATCAACAAACGTTGACCTTCTGTGCCTGGCTTCTCACTGAGTATGCCCTCAAGGTCCATACACGTTAGAGCAGGTGTCAGAATGTCTTTCCTTTTCAAGTCCTTCTGGATGAACCACATTGTTTATCCGTCAACCCATGGGTGGACACTTGGGTTGCTCCCACATTTTGGCTGTTGTGCATACACTGCTGTGAACACGAGTGTGTAATCTTCAAGCCCCTGCTTTGTCCTTTTGGGTGTCCACCCACCCAGAAGTGGATTGCTGGGTCACAAGGCGATTGTTTCATTTTTGGAAGAACTGCCGGACTATCTTGTCACAATGGCTGCCCAAACAGCCATGCGTGAGGGTCCACTTTTCCCACCTCCTCTCACTTTTGTTTTCATTGCAGGTGTGAGGTGCCATCTCACTGTGGTTTACATAGAAATGCTGCCAGCACAAAAGAGTCAGCGTGAGGATCAGTGGCTGTCAGCATCTCCCCTCTGGCAATGACACCCAGGATTTGGGGTTAAATTGTACCAAGGAGCATGTACAATTCTTATAGACCAGATTATAAGAGCACCACTTCCTGTGTGCTACTCGTGTCACACGTCAGTTAGGCATATGCTCCCCAATGCTCCTTGCAGGCCCAGGATGGGGGACATCCCCTTTTAGAGAGAAGAAAACTGAGTCTCAGAGCCAGGCAAGGCTCGTCTGAGGCCACATGGTGATTTCAGGCAGGATGGGGATGAAGTCAGTGGGCTGAGCCCTCGCGGCCTTGTGTTGTCTGCAAGGAGTTGGCTGACCTCTGAGCCCTCCGTCGTGGCCTGCAGAAGGAGGAAGGGTGACCTTCCAGGCCCTCACTGGACAAGCAGTGGGGACAGTGTGGACATGGAAGCCATTTGCGTATTGATGCTTCCCCCACACCCTGAAGCTGTGGGATGGGCACCCCACCTTCCCTGCCCAGGGCACCCCAGCAGCTGAAGGTCCAGAGAGCTGTTCAGGGGGGCAGAAGCTCTGGCCCTGGGAATCTGTAGGGAAACAGCCACCCCCAGGGAAAGATTCAGACTAAGGGGAGGCCACCAGACAGAGGCCAGTATCAGCCCATCTCATGGCGACCTGCCGACTTGGTCTGGAACTGATGGGACCTACTCAGGCAGCAGCCCCCAGCCTAAAACTAGCCCCATATCTCCTTCCCAGCTGACAGCAGAGGGCTAGGGGCACATGTGGCTGGGCAGAGGCGCCCTCACCACGGATAGGATCCAAGTGTCAGGCCCTGGCAGATGAGGTGCCCCTTGGAGCACGACCCCATCCAGAAGCTCCCCCATATCTGGACCCTCTGCAGATCGGGCTCCAAGCACCCAGTTTTGTTGACCATCAGCCACAGGCCCCGCTCCATGTGAGAGAGAGATGTGGCCATCAGCCAGCAGGACCCTTCACTTGGCATGAACAGCACAGCCCCCAGGTACCGTCATGTCTGAGCTCCCTGTTTTGGGGGTGCCCGGAAGCAGGTACAGAGGGTGGGCCAGTGCAGTCCCGGGCATCCTGCTATAGTATGACTGGACCACTTGCTGGCAAGAACAGAGCCCCGGGAAGGATGACACAAATTAGTCTAAAAGCATGAACTCAGCGCTAGCTGCTGGCTTGAGGCTGCAGTCATTACAGCATCCACTAAATCACACAGGTTTTCTGGATCATTAAGCAGGGCTGTCAGTGGGGGTAGCTTTCTGGAAGATTCCAAGGGCAGCCTTGGGTCTATGCGTCTGGGCTAGGCTCCAGGTACTGACTGGCGGCTGGCAGTGTCCCCAGGGCAGTGGGGGTGCCTGGCCTCCTTCAGGCCCTTGACACTGACAAGAACATTGTGGTCAAGTGGACCAGGTGTGTGTCCCTCCAGGAGACTCCAGCCCTCAACTGGCCACCACCCCAGAGCCCCTGCCTGGACCCAGGTTGGGAGGGACCCTTGGTGGCCATGAGGATGGGACCAGTGTGACCACACCACTCTCCCTGAATCACTGCCACCCTTGGCTACCTCAGCCTGCAGATGAGGCAGCCTCCTGCCCTAGTCCCCTTCCATGGAGGGTGGTCTGGCCCTTGCCATGGTGCAAAGGCACTGTGAGACAGATGAGTGTCTGGAAAGTCTGAGAACCACAGCTTCTCCACATTGGATGGTTAAAAGTTGGGCTCTGACAGCCCCTGCCTCAAGGGAGCCCAGTCTGGGACCTGGGACAGCCCTTGGCATACATGGAGGCCCAAGGAGGACAGGATTTTAGGTCTTTTGTTAAAAACAGAACAAACACCAATATGACACAACAGACACCAATAATCAACACTCAGACAGAACGATCCCTCACATGGGTAGCAATCCAAACGTGAGTGGGTGGAAGGTGGGCTTCGGTGGGCGGCTGGTCTCGGGGTGGGTCCACTGGGTCAGCTGATCGGACAGATGAAATGGGACAGGCGGAATCGCAACTCAGCCCAGAGGCCCCGGGCCACGGGAGGGGGTCCCAGTACCCGCACTCACTTGGCTGGCCTGGTAATGATGCGGGTGGAAAAGTCGAACAGGTCTCGGTTGATCTTGCGCAAGTTACGCACCTCCTCCTCCAGCTCGGTCACGCGAATCCGTAGTTGGTCTTGGCCGCCCAGCACGCTCTGGGGAGGGGTAGGGACTCAGAGGAGAGGGGCCTTGGCCACCCGGACAAAGGAGGAGGTTCTCCTCCCCAATAAACAGCCCCACACCACCCCACTCCAGGATGCTGTCCATTCCAGCCCCGCCCCTTCTCCATGGCCCCATTTATCCACCCCACCCACCACTTCCAAAAACCCACCCCTCACTGCCAGCCCCGCCTACCTTCTCCATCGTGCTGCACATCACCGCATGCAGCTGGTCCAACCGCTCCAAGTAGCTAAGCTCTGAGCCCTGCAACAGAAGGGACTGTGTCAGTGACCTGGGGGCTCACCTGTGCCACACACATCACCCCAATAGGGACGCAGGTGTCACCCTGACACCCGCTCACAGACAGGAAGACTAAGGCTCTGAGAAGGGGTCACCAGGTGCCTGGCTTGGGGTGACTTCTCTGTGGAGGCCACAGCTTCAACCCCACATCCAGCAGGAAGCAGTGTGCAGTCTCCTCTGATCAGCTTCTTGCTGCAGGACTGTGTCCCACAAGGCCCAGGGGATCAGGGACACTCAAGGCCACATGGCAGGCATGGGACTGGGGTTGGGCCTCAGGGGACGTGCAGAAACCATGATCAAGAAGGCTCCATAATAAAAAAAAAAGTAAAATAAAAAGGATTTTACAATTTTTCTTCTAAAAAAAAAAAAAAAAAGGCAGCTCCAGAGGACCACCAGGTGGTTTATGTGGGCAGAGCCCAGCGAGATGAACAGAAACGCTGCTGCAGCAGGAGGTGCTGTTCTAGGGGCCTAGACAGCCCTGTGGGGCATGTGTGATTCCAGGGCATGGAAATAGGGCAGAGGTGGACAGTGCACACCTGGTGTGGCAAGGCCAGCTGAGGATAGCCAGGCGGGCCATCTGTGGAGGGGAGCCTGGTGGGGCGTGAGCGGCATCTACTGCTCTGCTGGAGAAGGCACTGGACACACAGTGCCTCTGGTCATGCTCACTTGGGAGTGCTGTGTGAGCCGCTTCCACTCTGGAAGGTTCTGGTGCTTTCTGAGGTCAGGTGGGGCCACTAGGCTGGGCTCAGCCACATGGTCAGAGGGATGTTCTCACTGAGGACGTTATGTGGAGGGCTCTCGCAGGTGCCTGAACAAAAACCCTGGCCAGGAACCAGACTCAGAGGGAAGGTAGAGCCACACTGCAAAGGACTGAGGGAGGGGCACCTGCTGTGGGACCTACCTGCTGGTGGAGGCCCAGGCGCAGGGCGAGGGCTCCACGGTGCTGCTCATCACCGTGCTCAGCGCCAAGCAGGTGCTTGTTGAAGTGCGGCAGGGGCAGGCTGGGCCTGAAGTCAGAGCTCAGCATGCTGACTGGGGCCAGCATGATGGAGGCATTGGTCACCGGGCCTGCAGGGGAGCGGTGGTCAGGCAGGCCACAGCTCCCGCCACTCCTCAGACCTCCCCAACTGTCCAGGAGCGGCCTGACCACTTTCCTCTCATTGGCCCTGCCTCCCAGCACCCGGCCCGGTGGCTAGGCTGTGGACACATGGCTTCACGACCTCTCAGTCTCCCATCCTCATTCCTGAGCCCCCGGCCTGCCCCCAGTCCCACCTTTGAAGGTCACCGTCCTGATGCACTGTTTGCTCTGGATGTCCCAGAGGCGCACAGTCTCATCATGTGATCCAGAGAGCAGCACGCTGCCGTCAGTGGACACGGACAGGCAGGTCACCTGGTTTCTGAGGACACAGGTGTGAGAAATGGGTGTTGCAAATGATGCCTCACACCACGAGTGACAGAACAGGACCCCTTTTCTGCTTCCCATCCGGTCCCCGCACCTGTGGCCTTTGAACACCTTCCCACTGTCCTGTTCCGGCTGGAAGCTTTTCTCTCTCTGCCCAGGCTGCAGAGGCCAAGGAGCCAGTGACCAGAGGGACACTGTGGCACCTCAGCCCCAGGGGACCCAGGGCACTGAGGGTGATGGGCCAGAGTGGAGCCCGCTGGGCATGAGGACCTGGATGCAAGCAGGATGGACGGTCCCAGAGCCTTTGGAGGATGGACCCAGGGTATCCCTCCACCCCCTAAGCCTCCAACCACGGGCCCAAGCACCTGCCACTCACCCAGGTGCAGAGGTCAACCTGGAAGATGGAGCCATCGCTGCCCCCGCAGAACATGTGATGCTCAGCCAGGTCCATGGTCACAGCCATGACGCTCACATCAAAGAGCACAGACAGCAGCAACTCGCCCGAGGAGATCTCCCATAGCTGGGGGTGGGCGGGTTGTGGGATGGGCACTCCATGGATACCAGGGTCCCGGCTGGGCGGGGGTGCTGGTCTGAGAGCTGGGCAGCCCTAAGTGGAAGACCCTGGACTCCATGGAATCTCGGACGGGAGCTGTCACCCAGAGGTTTCTTGGGGTTGAGAGACTTGGCCTCCCTGAGACACAGTTCAGTTCTAATGCCCAGGACCCCTTGCCACTACCTGCTTTAGCTGCTGTCAGTCCTGGGTTCTGCCCTCCACCCACAACAGACAAAGACCCAAGGGCTACATGCCCTCAAATCCCAAGGCTTAGCCAGGGAGCCACTGGGTGCAGGCAGCCAAGTGGAAATTTCTGAGCCAACACGGGCCTGGACTGTCCACCCTCTGGATGTCCTTGAGGCTGGAAGCATCAGGGGATTAAGAACTGTCTGGAGCCACCAGCCTGGGGGGAGCAGGTGATTCACTGGCTCACGTCAGCCAAGAACCTGGCAGCCACCTGGGCTCAGCTGCAGATCCACTGCGGGGGAGGGTGGTTCCTACCTTCACTGTCTGGTCCAGTGAGGCAGTGGCCACCCGGGCCAGGGGCCCCCCAAAGCCGCAGTGCAAGTCTGTGATGGGGAGGGTATGGCGGGACCAGACATGCTGGGGCACTGGGGTCCTGGAGGGGTCCACCTGAAGCACACTGTGGGAGGAGTGGACTCAGGGTGAGTGAGGGCTGCACCCCGATGTCCCCACCTGCTTCCATGCAGCCACTGGGCCCATCTTACCCAAGGAAAATTCTGAGATGGTTCCCCACGGTCCCCTAGACAAACCCATCGCCCTTGTCCTCCTCACACCAGCGTACCTGACTCGCAGCTCCCAGCCCCAGCCCCTTCCTGCCCTGGGACCTTGGCTCAACCTTCTGTAGAGCGGGCTCCCTGCCCTTTCTGCTGAGGCCTCACTGGCTGGAGGCTGCAGGCCCGGTGCTCCACAGCCGGGCGTGGACTGTGAGGGTTGGGGTGCTACCTGCATAGGCTCCACACCAGCACCAGGCAGTCCTTGCCCCCTGAGAGGAAGTAGCTGCTGTCCCCCGTGAACCGCAGGCAGGAGATGTCTTGATAATGACGGCTCAGGATGACAAGGAGGTTCCCTGTGGAGACCTGGGGAAGGGGCACACCGAATCAGGGCAGGAAATGGGCCACAGCACCTGGCTCTCCAGCTGCCAGGTCACAGGGGAGCATGAGCCTGCACGGTCCACTGCACCAAGGCTTGGTCTAACCAAGGAACCCCACCCAGCACAGGGTGAGGGTTTGTGTGACTGCTGTCCACAGGTAAGGCAGGGGCAAGTGATAAGGCTGGTGAGGAAACGGGTCCCCAGGAGCAGCTGGACCCAGGACAAGCAAGAGGGTGGCTCCCCATGGAGATTCTGTCACAGCAGGAAGTCACAGTCTTCTGGGCTGGCTGTGAGGGGCTTCAAATGCAGCCACACCACAGGAGGGACTGGGGGTGGGGGTGCTTCTTACTGTGAAACCTGGGAGAAGGGAGACCCAAGACCAGCAGGAAGTTAAGAAGTTCGGTCTACGGAAAAGGGAGGAGCCCAGAGGCAGGAAAAGGTGAGCCTATCACATGACACATGGCAAGGGCTATGGCATGGGAGTAGGATGGTACAGATGCTGTTGTGAGTTGAATTGTGTCCCCTAAATAACTATATTCATGTCCTAACTCCTGGATCCTAAGACCTTACTTGAATACAGAGGCTTTGCAGGTATAATCAGTTCAAGTGAAGTCACACAACAGTAGGGTGGCCCTAAACCCAACAACCAGTATCCGTAGAGGAGGGAAACTTGGATATAAATGCACAACTGCTTACCCCACAGCCCCCGCCCTAAGGATTTCCAGCCTTCCCCACCCACTCAGCTGGGGGAAAGGCCAACAGTGGCAGCTTATGGAAGCCAAGATGGTTGACTGAAAGCCCTGGGCCTGGGCTCCTGCCTCTGGTTAGTCACACTGGGCACCCCCTTGGGGTCACACCTCATACTGATCTGAAATTCTCCAAGAGGATGGGGGAGCCAAGGCCACACAGCAACCCCTACCTGCCTAGACATACCATAGCTGTCCCTTATCATGGAGGAGCAACCTCCTAAGATGTCCCCCATCAGGCCACGGGCCACTGGTTTCTACCATGACCCCTGCTCCAAGCTGGCAGAAACCAGGGCAAGAATTTCTACCATGATGGGGGCAACCTGTGAGGAGCAACTGTGGCCTGAGCAACTGCTTCCTAGTTTCAGAATCAGTATCAAGGTCTGAAAGTCCTAGGGCGAAATGAGGAAGCCCTTCCCATCTCTGTGGTCCTTCTATTGTCCACAGAGATTTCAATTCTCTCAGCATAACTCCGGGGAAGGCACCAAGGCTATTTTGCAGGTACAAACAAGGTCAGGCAGGAGTCACAACATGGTGACACTCACCTTCTGGCCACAAATCCTGAACTGTCTGCACAGGAGGCTCCCCTCAAACATAACTGACTATTGGTAACAACACTGTCGGTGGTCTAATAAACCAGTGGCCCAGAGGCCAAACCCCACAACCCTGGCTCTGTGCTCTCATGCTTACCTCCCACAGGTATGTGCTCTCTGCAATGCCTGCCAGCACGTAGAGGCCATTGGGCGATGTGGCCAGGCAGGTGACAGGCCCGGGGCACATGATCTTCTGCTGGAGCTGGTCCTAGAAGAACATAAGAAGCCTCTGAGGGTTAAGAGCTCACTCAAGAATTTGAGCTCTGAGCAACAGCAGTTCAATGCGTGGCCCAAGCTGAGCAGCCGCTGAGCTGCCAACAGGTGGCAGAATGGCTCAGCTTAAAAAAAAAAGAAGCCTCTGAGCTTCATGCAAAACTTGGGAGCCCTGGCCAGTGAGGCGAGTGGGAGGGGGCACCGCGGCAGCTGCTATGTCCAAGAAAGCCAGAAAGAGGGGAGGGAACAGGGATGGTTTGAGCAAATCCACAGTTCAGCAAAGAAGTGTTCATTCTAGCCAAGGCTTTGCAGGCTGGAGGTGAAGGTTTGAGGGTCCTCAGATAAAAGCAGGATGGTGCTCCATCTGGGTAGCGGGCCAGAGGGCTCCTCTGGGCATGGGGGTGGGCAAGGCCCAGAGGATCCAGGAGGGACATTGGGGCCAGAGAACCCAAAGACCAATCGGCTTGTTCCGCAATCCTGCTTTCCTAAGGTCCCACCTACGACCAGGCCTGTAAGCCTCAGTTTCCAAAACTCTATAATGGGAAAACTTCATGTATGGTGTGTGGACCACGCCAGACAAAGCCAGGGCAGAGTTTACCCCAGGAAATGTCAGCTAGCAGAAAGGGGAAGCAAGCAGCTGCAGGGGCTGCATTTTGTGCTTGCTTTAAGAGAGGAAACACTGTGGACCCTGATGAGGAAGGGTAGCATCTTTTTTTGGAGGATAAATGCAAGAGGCTCCCGGACTACCGTTTCAGGGGGTTCCCCAGGCCTCAGACCCTCACTCTCCAAGCTCACGAGACGCACGGAACCTCAACTGCAAACTCTCCTTTTAAATTTCACGCCCATTCATATACAGCTCCCCTAAGGGTCTCCCCACCTCCCCAGCACTTCCTGTGCTCCTAGACGGCTGCCTCAGAGACCCGCCCCCCACGCCACCCCTGACGCCGCGGTACTCAACTCTGCGCGTACGACTTAACGGATCCCACCCGCCCCGGGGCGCGCACCTCCCTCCACCGAAAAGCCCTCAGACCCGTGCATGCGCAGAGCCCTCTAACGGAGTTTCTCTCCCCGCCCCCAGTTCAGTGCAGCCCCCACCGACAGCAGTCTAAAGAGCCCCGCGCACCCCCCATCAGAGCCCAGGCCCGCGCCGCCGCACCTTCCGCTGCAGCTCCCAGGCGCTGATGTAGTTCTTGCCCAGCTGCGCCGCCAGCAGGTACTCGCCATTGAGCAGCGCCAGGCCGCGGGGCCCAGCTTGGCCGCCGCGGTATGTAAGCAGGTTGGCGCCCGAGTGCAGCTCCCACACAACGCAGCTCCACAGCTGGGCGGACGCGTCTGTACACACGGCCACCTCCATGGGCGCCGCCATCTTCCTCCCCCACCGTCCCGGACGTGCGTCATCATCAGCGAGACGCGGGCGACTGCACCGCGCAGGCTAGAGCGGCGCCCACGTTGCTGAGTCCCCGGCGGTTGGCCGGCCCGCGCGTGGCCCACACAGGGGAGGGGCCTGCCCTGTGACCTGGGAATATTTTTCTTCCTTCGCTGAGAATCAAGGGGCGCACCTGCGCCTGGTTAGAGATCTTGAAAGGAATCCTCTTACAAAACTGGATGGCGAAACCAAGGCCCAGGGTCTCCCGCGAGCAGTTAAGTAGCTTTAGAGCCTGGAAGTCTGGCTTGACCATTTACGCTGGGCGCTTTTGGCCAAGTGAGTCAACCTCTAGGATTTTCTTTTTTATGATGTGCAAATGATAAAGTACCGAGCTCATAGGCCTAAATGAGACAGTGTACGTAAAGTATAGAGTACGTATCTGACATACCATATTTAGCTGGCACTGAACACATAGTAATTAAATTCGTATTCACTGATCAACCGTCAGCCTCTCCTTGGACCTCTCTAACTTGGGGGCCACAAAATCCACTTTTTTATTTCAGGAATTTGGTGCAGCCCAAATAAGTAGGGGGCAACTAACCTCAGGTTACAGCTGCCGGCCCCTGGCCACATCTTAAAACAGTGTACTTTAAAATGTGGAATTAGGGCTGGCCGAGTGGCGCGATGGTTAAGAGCTGGCTTGGGACCCCAGAGGGCTCCAGTTCTATCCCACATATGAGGGCCAGTGACACTGCCCTCCACAGCTAAGATGCTGAACAACAGCTCAACCTGGAGCTGGGCTGCCCTGAGTCCCCGGCTAAGGCGTAGGCTGCAGCCTCTGCTGCAGTGGGTTGCCATGGGCTACCGTGAGCCGCCAGCAACCGCAGTGAGCAGCCGTCCAGAAGCCAGCGACTGATCTGCCTCGCCTGGGAAGAGCGCAATGATGGTGCCAACT